GACTCTCTGGCTTCTTTCCTTCAGCCAGTTTATCTCAATTTGCTAGTCAGGTGTTCACCACTTGGGTGCTAGGAAAGAATTTGACCTGTAATTGGACATGGCTGTCATGTGGAGCTGTAATTGAGACAGTTTTCATCATTCTTACTTAACTACATTGTAGGCGCAGTTGAGGTTCCAAGAGTGCATAGCAGCACAGCAAGAGTGGAAACAGATTCATCATCTCTGTTACTGGGAACTGATGTGGTGCTACACCTTCCAGCAGAACTGGCTTCAAGCATATCGGTATGCAGACCTGCTGAGCAAAGAGAGCAGGTGGTCTAAGGTAAATGGGGAGGTGGACATTGTTACGGTAAGCCAGTAGCCTCTCCATGGTTAATATTGTGTTTCAGTTTGCATAATAAGTGTAATTTGCTTTCTTCTGAAACCCATAAGCAAAGGCATAGTGGCACCAAAATGGTAGGTGTACTTGGGTGGCTAAGGAGGAATTTTCATTTCTGAAGCACTAGAGCCATAACTGCCAGTGCTTCAGCCCCTCTAAAAACAGAGGTATTTACCAGAGTTGTGAGAAAGAAGAGGGAGAGGAAAACTGTTAACTTTCATCTCAAGTCAAGTTCTAGCACTTACTAATAAAACTTCACTGAACAAACTGTGTTTGTTTGTTAGTTATAAACAAGATGTGAGCAGGCCTACTCAGCAGATGCTTTGTGACATGACATGAGAAGGCTGCTGGAGACAGGGTCTAATGAGAAAAGTTGGGGTAGCTACCTTTTCCTTGTAAAAATGTTTTTTAAAGTATGAATCAAGCACAATGTGCAGGTAATTCTTGATGCATGATTTTTGTCTGTTCCTTTCTAGGTTACTGTCTTATTATGCTTAGTGGAAAAGGTGATATATCAAGCTCTTGACAAAAGAACAAGAATAGTATATTCAACATGAAGTGCAAATATCTTGAATAGAATTACAAATGTTTCTTTTTTTCCTCTGCAAAGTCCAGTTATTGAACTTTCCTTGAATCAGTACTCAGATGTGTTCTGTTATTTTCAAGTATTTTACAGATCATATAATAACATTAATGGACTTTTGAATATTTGTCATTTAACTTCATCTCTTTATCAGTGATTTGCATAATAAATTGTCCTATTTTTTGCAGGAGAGACCTTTAGCATTCTAACTTACTTAGAATATTAATAAATATGTTGAAAGTAGAAGTATAGCATAAATTATATGACAAAGGAAATTATAAATGTCTATGTTTCCACCTGCCTTAGAATTACTGGAAACTATTGCAGCAAGTGGGGTGAGGGATTTGAGTCCTTAGTGTATTGACTGAATACAACAAGTTAGATGTGGTAATATGTTGCTATTTCTTTTTGAAATAGGCAATATATGTATTCCAGAAGGCAGCAATTCTATGTATGCTTCCAGAAGATGACTTGAAAGCGACTGGTGAGGACATTGTATCTTTGTTCAGGTAAACGTTTATAAAGCAACTAGATATGCAGTCTTTTTCCCCCATATAAAAGTTTTTTACTTCAGTATCTTTGTCTTGTGTGACTGACTTCCTACTTAGAACTATCAAGATTTCAGTTTTTCTCTTTGCTTTTAGCATCAATATACTTAAAATGCTACTTGTGTCAGAAAATATACGTCCTGCAACAGTGGTCTAAATCGTGTGGAACAATTCAAGATGTTATACTTCAGAAGAGAACGACAAATCTTGCTTTGTGTAATTTTTATTTCAACTTACTTCATTTAGTAACTTTTGTTTTCGTTTTTCCCCTCTTTTTAGACAAGTGGAGGGTCTAAAACAGAGAATTGCAGGAAAATCTATCCCAACTGAAAAGTTTGCAGTAAGGAAGGCTCGACGCTATGCAAATCCTCAACCGGTGAAGCTGGTATTACCTGCCTTGGTATTTATGCTTGCTTGCTTTTTGTCCTTTTCAAATAGAAAAGAAATAAGTATAATTCATTATACAGGGAAAGAATGGCATCATCAGATAGTGTGTGTGTGTCTGCATTTAAAAAATCATTTTGTAAGGAATTATTGCATTCATGGAGTGGGACTTTTGAGAAATGTATTAGGAGCTGGTTCATTCTAGCAACTACTAGCAGTCTAAAACCAGAGCCAGATTTTTCACATGAAAGTTCAAAAGAACAGAGAATGATTGCTTTTGCCACGTGAGGCAGAAAGTTATCTTTCAGCTAGAAATCTGCATGGGTTTCTAGCATACGTGTTCATGTTCTTTAGTTTGGCAGGATTCTTCCGCACTCATTAGGAAGTTAAGGAGTGCTTCAGAGCTTTATGTTCATCTGGTGAAAGTGAAGATTGGCTTTCTCCTTATATTGAATCTGAGTAAAATGTGCAGAAGTTAATGATACTTTACTAATGCAGTTCTAATTTCCCATGGGTTTAACTTCAGAAGGCATTAGTTGTGCACAGTCTGTTTAGTCTGTTTGTGTGCACAGCAATGATACTTTGCACATATATATGCTTAATTCTTTGTACATGGATAATTTAGCAATGACTGGTGATGAAAAACATAATTTGAGAAGGAATTTCTTATGTTAAAGCTCATTGTTATAGAGTCCAAAGAAAATTTATCTGTCAATTTTAAAATTCATTGTTTACTCAATTACTTATGAAGACCTAAGTAATAAAGTTGTCCTGGGCTTGTACAGCCCAGTGCTATTAAGTTTTGGGTACATATTTGTGGTCTTGCTGTCAAAACCAGTATGTTTTAATTTAAGAATTTTTCCATCATGGGTTAAGTCAAAACAATTTGTGGTGTTACTGCAGTAAGCATAAATTGGACAGGACTACAGAACTGAACTAAATCTAGTATAATGATAGTATCAATAATGCTGTTTCAGACTTTGATAGAGCTATCTTTTTTTCTCGCTCTGAAAACTCATATTTACAGCACAAATATAAGGGGAAATATTTCAACAATGTATTGTATTAGCTTCAGAATGATATCAGACTTTGTATCTCAGAAGTGTAGTTACAATTCAAATACAGTAGAACGAATGATACTCTTGTGTTTGCGATGATTAAGGATCTCAGCAAAGTTTCATATTAGTTAGCATTAACTTTGTATGTGTATTCTCTCATTCTCTTTGTGTTACAATGTGATAATATTTAAAGCATTGAAACAAGCGTCTTGCTTACTGTTGGATGTACGTACTGAAGTTGGATGTATGTACTTGAGCCACATTTTTATCCATAAAGTTTTATCTACTTCAAGTATTGCTCCATATGGAAGATAACAGTCTATAGATTCTAGCATCTGTGTATAAACACATGTGTGAGTGTGTGCATGTGTTTGAGTGCACGCATATATGTATACACTGTATATACATGGACACACTCACAAGCACACCCAGATTTATCTATAATCCTGTAGTAACTATTTTCAGTTGCTTCTTTAGTTCATATGACAGAAGCCACAAGTTGAACCTAAAATATCCAGTTTTACTGATGTGTTATGTGGTGATGTTAGACTGTTACATGATAAAACCTCTTCAGTTTTGTATTTGAAGATGTATGAAATTACATGATAAAATCCATTAAAAAACTGTCAAAACATTAGAAACTTAGAAACTCAGGTTAACTTTGCCCATACACATTCAATGTAACGTTGCCTCCCCTATGTGTAGATACTCTTGTGTAACTTCTTAATTAAATTATTATTAAGGCAAACATGATTGTCTTTGTAAACTTGCATGTAACTGACCGTGTCCAGAGCTCATTGTGGGTGCATTTTTATTAATGGGTTTCTCAGCAGTGTGTGTTTTGGCTTTGAAACCTTTCATATTGTTTAAAACAAGTTTTTGTAGGCAGTATTTTTATGTACTCAAAATGTTCCAAAACAGCCTTTTGAGGGATACTCTTTAGTTGAATATTTATGCAGTTCCATGAGTTTGACTCGGATGGGTTTTTTTGTTTTGTGTTGTGTTTTTTTGTCAGGAAATGATGTATGTCTGGAATGGCTTTGCAATTGTGGCCAAAAGATCTGACCTCACTGAAAACTTATTGGTAACAATTGAAAAAGAAGAAGCTGCACTACAAAATGAAACCAGTAAGTGATCAGTTGAGCTGGTAAGAAATGCTGTCATTTTTCTTTGCTTCTGTCTACTAGTGTTCTTTGAGGCAAGTGTTGACTTGGGAAATGTGCTATTAAATCTGAGTATGGAAATTTTGGACTTGCGTGAATGTTAGCAGTGGTTCTTCAATATGTCCTTATCTGGCTTGGTTGATGCTGTAAAAGAATGAAGGAAACTCAATGATGTCAAGTTATTAGTTACAGAACCTAAATGAATCTTACTAAGACATGTTTCTCAGAGTGATCTTGTAGTGTAATCTGCTAATTTCTTAAATGTCTGAAAAATACTTTTTCTAAACAAAATTGCACTGTGTTATAATTTTACTACAGAGGAGACATACTGAGCATTATATGACTAAGTATAAAGGAAATAATGATGTACCTTCTGCCAAAATAAAATGTGTTTGCTAGTTGTAAATGAAACATATTTTTAACAAATAAACTTTAACTGTGGATTTAGTTGTTGATGTATTTGAAGCATAGAATTTCAGCATCATGTTTAAAGGATCAGTCCATATCTTATTACTAAAGGAACTTAAGTTCCATTATTACAACAGGCTTCCTGCAGAAGCTGGGTCTCTTTAGTTTGCAGAAGAGGAGACTGAAGGGGAGACCTCATTAATGTTTAGAAATATTTAAAGGGTGAGTGTCACGAGGATGGAGCCAGGCTCTTCTCAGTGACAAACAATGATAAGACAAGGGGTAATGGACACAAACTGGAACACAGGAGGTTCCACTTAAATTTGAGAAGAAACTTCTTCTCAGTGAGGGTGACAGAGCACTGGAACAGGCTGCCCAGAGAGGTTGTGGAGTCTCCTTCTCTGGAGACATTCAAAACCCGCCAGGACGCCTTCCTGTGCAACCTCATCTAGGTGTTCCTGCTCCAGCAGGGGGATTGGACTAGATGATCTTTTGAGGTCCCTTCCAATCCCTAACATTCTGTGATTCTGTGATTATGTGAAGTATCTGTTTTTGTCAGGTGGCTGCTATCATATAATCATGTGAAATTCTCAGTAAACTTTTCCTTTGGGTTTTTCAAGAATGAATAAATATGATCTTTCCACAATGATTTTTTTAATAGTAATTCCCTAAAAATAGTTTCTATTGAACCCAGATTTTAATCACACTTACCAACAACTAGCAAAAGATAGTTTTGCCACATTATTAAAATATTAGTTGTTAAATGTAAAAGGATATCTAATTATGATTTACATGTAAACTGAGGTGATGCATCAGGAGTTAACAAGAACATACAAGAAGTGCATAATGGTGAAATCTGGATGGTATCATAAGCCAAGAGTAACTTGCAAGGCCGAGATGAGTTGTGTCCCTTAATTTTTTTTTTTATATTAATCTTCATATTTCTGCAGAATCAATAGTGTGCTTCGTATATCTCAAATGTGTTTTTTTCTTTTTTTTGTTGTTGTATTAAAACCAAAATGTGGTAATATGCAAGGTGTCTGCAAATAAAGTAATGTTCCCATGCGTTCTGCGTGGAAGGTTCTGGCAGCAGCTGTTGGGAATCTGGTGCTGTATCACACAGAAGCTTGTACTGTAAGTGCTAATTGGTTGTAACAGTGAAGTAAATTTCCTGTCAAATTCCTAAGCAGAGATGCACAAGGAACCAAAATAAAAGTTTTGGCTTTTTTTTAAGTGTGGTTTACAAATAGGATGTAATCTGGAAACATACTTGTTTTTCATGCTTCCTGTATCTTTTTTAGGAATAACTGCAGTCAAATGTAGTTTTGTTCTGGACTTTGCATCTGTGAGCCTGATTTGCTTTTAAAGATAAGGAATCAGAAAAGATAAAAGACTCTGATTACAAGAATTGAGACCCAAAGAAAGTGATCTAAGGCTATTAGAAGAGTGTGACAGTGTTACAATATTATTTTAAGAGACAGCTGTCAGTACTAGATAGCTTTAAAGGACTGCTAAGGTGCTGTAATAAAGTGTATTAATCATACATAAAGGTCATTTAGGGATTGAGACTTCTTGGAGAAAGCTGTTTATACTTCGTTTGCTTCAAGTGAAACAGGCACAGCAAGGAATCTGTCAAGGATTGAAGGTGGTTTTATGTTGTATAGAGGTGGTAGAAGGAATAGATGAAAGATGTTAGAAATTACATTTTTTTTTTCTCAAGATTTCAGGAAATCTTGGTTTTTTCCACAGTTGTGTAGTCTCCAAGATACAAAAAAGAGATTTGTAACTTCACTAAAAATTTGTTTCTGTGGTTATCTTGTGTGTTTTATAATCTTGATAATGATATTTCATCTGCTATAGAGAGATGCAGGAAGATAGTTCTCCCACATTTATTGCAAGGTTGTATTAAATTGGCCTGTGCATTTACTGTCACTTACTGTCAGGGTTTTGGCATAATAACTTCTTCCTGTGGAAGAAATACCAGGGAGATACTAGTTGAAGTTGTTAAAGACTGGCAAGCTTTTACTGACATCAGTGCTTGCCCCTAGTAATTTCAATGAATGAGTCCTTTAGGAGACAGCTACATTAATCTAATACCGTAGCCTAGCAAAACAGGCTAGAGGGAACGCAAAATACTCACCCACTGTGCCTCTACCTGTCAGTAAAAGCACAGTCTGTCAGTTACTATGTATTGAGACTTTCTGAGTTTAACTGCAGACAGAAATAAACCTGAATGTAGTGGCTAAGCACTTTAAAGCATCTCCAGATTCAGCAGTCTTGCATGTTTCAGAACTGTTTACGTAGGATTTTTTGGCAGACTATTAAGAAAAAAATTAACATGACCGTAGGGAGCTGGTAATTAGTTGTAAACAACATGATATGAAGGGAGGGTGTTTTGCTTCCCAAATTGTTAATGTATGTGCTGCCATCTGTCTATCCATATGTGTTTTCTTTCCTTTCTTTTCCTTCCTTACACCCAGCAAATGCTATAAACTAAGACAACAGAAAAGGACCACACTCGTTAAGGTTATATTTCTGATCTGTTCACAAAAGCTCTTTCATCTGATATTTTTAGTCCTATTGAACATAAAACTTCCTTGGATTTTCCAAATGTTATATGCTGCTAGTGAAGCTCCTTAAGAGAGATTATGAGAATACTAGTAAATGTGGTTTCTTGTATTTGTACTGCCAAATAACGTTTCCTAAAAGTTCTGCAGGATAGAGTCCTAGTGCCTACTTGTGCTTTTCACATTACTGGTGCTAGTGGAGGTCTACCAGTACTCTGCAACAGGGAAGCAATTAAGATAATGTAATGCAAAGGAAGTTTCAGTCTCACTGTAGGTTTTGCTTCCTGTTTTAGACATTACAAGTATAGAAATCTTTAACTGATGCCTGCTTTGTACTGACTTCCTGATACAAAAGACTGGAGAATGTTTCCATTTCTTCTTATTTCTTCTTAGCCTGTAGTCTTAAAGATAGAGATGTTATGCACACATCTTTAGTAGACAGTATTTAAAATTGGGCCTGAAGGTTATGTATGTTTTGAGGTATAAAATCTGAGAAGCAAGGTCCTGAGTCTGAATACATATTCCCTACTGAAAACCTAATTTTCCTTGTCATGATGTTGTCAGATTTTTTTTATGTATCTTGCTTTTACTTTTAGATCACAGTGAATACTATATGGATGATATATGCATGTTGCAGTTACTGAAAGGCCTCTGCCTGAAACATTTGGGAAGACTCATGCAAGCTGAACTGTGTTTCAGTAAAGTAATTCAAAGGTAAAAATAACATAAATAGACTTTTAGCCTTTGTTTTGTAGCTTTGGGTGAAATATCTGATGCTCCTGTAGAAGCTGTCATGTTAGAATTTTGAATAATTAAACTTCAGGATACTTTTAAGGAGCTGGATTTAAGATACCTCTGAAGGTAGCTGGAGAACCACAAAACTTTGCTAGTATTTCCCTATAGCAATTTAATGATATATAGCTTTATGTAAATGTTACATTTTAGATCAAATAAATCAAGCTGACTTTGATCAGAAGGTAATGCTTCTACCTAAATACATTTGGAATTAGCATTTTTATATGTGCAGAACTATCAACATAAGTAAATAGAATACACATAGATTTCCTGGGGTTTTTTTCGGGATGTAGTACTTCAGTAGCTAGTGCTTCTCTGTGCTTCTTTATTTAGATTAAAAATTCTTCTCGTTGTTACTTATTTCAGTTGAAAACCTTAGTTTCCTTGGTTATGGATTTATCAAATACTTTAAATGTCAGCTTCATATATACTGTCATAACTTTTCCTTATATAACATTGAGTTGTGTACGGATTGTAGTTGTAAACTTTAGAATTTTTGGAGTAATTAGAATGAAAAAACAGTTTTTACACATGCAATTTTCCTGATAAATTATTTCAAAAAATTAATATTTAAGGAAAACTTGTAGTGTATAATTCTATTGCTTGTTATTGTTTTCTTGCCATTTCACCATCTCTTGCCATTTCTAAGATCCCAGGTGAGTTTAGGCAGTGAGTTTTGATTGGTTGCAGGTTAAAGGAATG